GGGGGCTGGGGAATGGTTGCCAGTAGGCATGAGGTACTTTTTAGGAAAATGTTCTGGAATGAGATAGTGCTTATTGTTGTATCACCTGGTAAATATACCCCACACCTCCAAATGGTATACTTTAAGAATAATCGGCTGGGCGTGGTGGCTCATGCCTATAATCCCAGCACTTTGGGAGGCCAAGACGGGTAGATCACTTGAGGTCAGGAGTTCGAGACTAGCCTGGTCAACATGGTGAAACCCCATCTCTACTAAAAATACAAAAATTAGTCAGGTGTGGTGGGCATTCCTGTAATCCCAGCTACTCAGGAGGCTGAGACAGAAGAATCACTCAAATCCGGGAGGCAGAGCTTGCAGTGAGCCAAGATCCCACCACTGCACTCCAGCCTGGGCAACAGAGCGAGACTCCATCTCAAAAAAAAAAAAGAAGAAGTTCGAGACCAGCCTGGGCAGCAATTTAGTGAGCCTCGGTCTCTACAATGAATGAATGAATGAATGAATGAATGGATGAATGAATGAATGAAAGAAATAAAGAATAATCAATGTCGACTTCCCTGTTGGTGGGGAGTGGGGGTTACAGCAGCTGCAATCCCTCTGATGGGTCCTGTCATTCTAAGGACAGGGTCCAAACTCCAGGCCTTGGCCCTACCCTGTGGGCTACATCCCTCACTCCAGTCTCATCCCTGACCTTGAGCTCCTCCCGGGCCCCAGGTGTCTGAGAAGCTGCCTTTTCCCGCCCCTGGACCTTTCTTTGCACAAGCTGCTCCCTCCCCAGGTTTTCTGCACCCAATCTCAGGCCTTAGGGTCCAGGTCACACACTTGGGAAGCCCCCTCTGTTCCAGCTCTGGCCAGGACCCCTTGGTGTGTGCTCTTGAGGCCGACCCGCCCCACCCAGCCTGCTTCCCTGTCTAATGCTCCTCCAGGACCACCCACAGGGAACCAGACATCTCCCCTGGGTCGTATGTCCAGTACCCATCTCTGAGAAGCCCACCGTGCAGCAAATGTTTGTTGAATACGACAAGGATTTGGGTGCAAGAACCTCACCGTCACTCCCATTTTATGGGGAAATGAGGCTGGGAATTTTCTGGGGGTCACACGCTAGGAGACAGCAGCACTAGGACGTGAATCCCGGCTGTGCGGCTCTAGATCAGCGCTTCCAAACAGCAGCGACCTTGCCCCCCGGGGACATTTGGCCACATGTTTGGTTGTCAGGCTGGGGAGTGGGGTTGGAGGAATGCTAATAGTATCTTGGGAGTGGAGGCCAGAGAGGCTGCTAAGCAACTTACAATACCCAGAACAGCCCCACAACAGAGAATTTTCCAGGGCAGCAGCACTGGGGCTGAGAAGCCCTGCTCTGGGGTGTGCGTTCCCAACCACTAGGCTGTCCGGACTCTTCAGTGGCTTCCTCCTCCTCAGGATAAAGGCCAAAGTCCTGACCTCGGACGGCAAGGGTTGGACAACCTGGCTGCTGCCGCCAGTTTCTTTGGCCCCACTGGGGTCTGATTCCCCTTTGCCCCCAGTACCTGGCCTCCCAAGATCCTTCCAACATCCAAATCTCCTCCCTGCTCAGAGCCAAGATCCCGCCTGGAGCCCCTGCCTGAGCTGCACCCACCTGACACAGTTCCCACAGTTCCTCCACCCACCGAACACAGTTCCTTCCACTCCTTCTCCAGGGTCCTGTAGATCCCATGCCTCAGTCGCTGCTTCCCTTCACAGCACTTGCCTAATGAAAGCAAATCCTGGCCAAGTGTGAGCAGCAGAACAATGGCTCCCAAAGATGTCCACGTCCTAGTCCCAGAACCTGTGAATATGTCACCTTCCTTGGCAAAAGGGATCCTGCAGGTGTGATTAAGTTAAGGGTCTTGGAATAGGAGGTCACTGTGGATCATCCAGGTAGGCCCAACGTAATCTCAAGGGTCCTTACAAGAGGGAGGCAGGAGGGCCAGCAACAGAGAGACAGGAAGATGTCACTCCATGGGCTTTGAAGCGGGAGGCAGGGGCCACGAGCTGAGGAATGCAGGCAGTGCTAGAATCTGGAAAAGGCAGGAAAAAAGGCAAGGAAAGGCAAAGATTCTCCCCAGAGCCTCCGGAAGGGGCCAACCTGCCACCACCTTGACTTTAGCCCCATAAGGCACATTTTGGGCTTCTGACTTCCAGAACTATAAGATAATAAATGTGTGTTGTGGACGAGTGCAGTGGCTCATGCCTGTAATCCCAGCACTTTGGGAGGCTGAGGCAGGCAGATCCTTTGAGGTCGGGAGTTCAAGAGCAGCCTAGCCAACATGGCAAAACCTTGTCTCTACTAAAAAAACAAAAATTAGAGGCCGGGCGCGGTGGCTCAAGCCTGTAATCCCAGCACTTTGGGAAGCCGAGACGGGCGGATCACGAGGTCAGGAGATCGAGACCATCCTGGCTAACATGGTGAAACGCCGTCTCTACTAAAACATACAAAAAACTAGCCGGGCGAGGTGGCGGGCGCCTATAGTCCCAGCTACACGGGAGGCTGAGCCAGGAGAATGGCGTGAACCTGGGAGGCGGAGCTTGCAGTGAGCTGAGATCCGGCCACTGCACTCTAGCCTGGGTGACAAAGCAAGACTCCGTCTCAAAAACAAAAACAAACAAACAAAAAAAAAACAAAAATTAGCTGGATGTGGTGGCAGGCGTCTGTAATCCCAGTTACTTGGGAGGCTGAGGCAGGAGAATCACTGGAACCCAGGAGGCAGAGGTTGCAGAGAGCCAAGATCATGCCACTGCACTCCAGCTGGGGCTACAGAGCGAGACTCCGTCTCAAAAAAAAAAAAAAAAAAGGTGTTGTTTTCTGTTCTTTTTTTTTTTTTTTTTTTTTTTGAGACGGAGTCTCGCTCTGTCACCCGGGCTGGAGTGCAGTGGCCGGATCTCAGCTCACTGCAAGCTCCGCCTCCCGGGTTCACGCCATTCTCCTGCCTCAGCCTCCCCAGTAGCTGGGACTACAGGCGCCCACCACCTCGCCCGGCTAGCTTTTTGTGTTTTTTAGTAGAGACGGGGTTTCACCGTGTTAGCCAGGATGGTCTCGATCTCCTGACCTTGTGATCCGCCCGTCTCAGCCTCCCAAAGTGCTGGGATTACAGGCTTGAGCCACCGCGCCCGGCTATTCTTCTTCTTTTTTTAAAATTGGGCAGCCTCCTGAGCCAGGGTGGGCTCAGAGAGGCTCCTGTGTGTTGTTTTAAGCCACTAAGTTCATGGTAATTTCTCCCAGCAGCGATAGGAGGCTGATGTGGTAATACCCTGCTGAGGGTCTCTCCTGGACGGCTCTCAGTCAACGTCAATGGACTGAATGCTCAGAAAGGAACGGTCCTGATAGCTGGGCTGGCCCAGGCCAGGCGAGAACCAAGCTGCAAGTCTTCACATTTTCTTTCCTCTTTCAAACGTGTGGAATAAAATTCAAATGAATCAGCTATTCCAAGGGCAAAGTTTTAATTATATTCCTGCTTCATTCTCTGCTGACAAGAATGTTAATTCTCTGCTAACTCGGTGCTGACAGCCACGCCTGCTCCCTCCCTCTGCAGCTTGGGAGGGGCTCACATTCCCTCTGGCCAGGTGACTATGACACAGCCGCAAGGTCCTCTCAGCCTCCCAGTCCTCTGCTGTGCACGAAGCCAGGGTCCCAAGCCTAGGGCCCCAAGTGGATGAAGAGCGTCTGCACCGGCACATATGAGCTGGAGTCCTGGCTTGATGTAACTAGTAGTGTGACCCCAGAGAAGTGGCTGACCTTGCAAAGCTTATGCTCCTCTTCCAGGAGATGGGGGCAGTGAGAGGACTGACTCTGCAGTGCAGCAAGGAGGAAATGAGATGCCATGCATCTTAGCCAGGCAAGTAAAAGATGGGTGAGCTACGTCAGTGGTAAGGCAAGAGGGCATGGTGAGGACTGTGGAAAACTGGAGAGCCCATGCCCTTCTGAGGAGCAGCAGCCACCAGCTCCATCCATTTTTTTTTTTTTTCAGACAGTCTTGCTCTGTTGCCCAGGCTGGAGTGCAGTGGTGCGATCTTGGCTCACTGCAACCTCTGCCTCCCAGGTTCAAGTGATTCTTGTGCCTCAGCCTTCTCAGTGTGTGCCACCACACGCAGTTGATTTTCATACTTTTAGTAGAGACAGGGTTTCACCAGGTTGGCCAGGGTGGTTTCAAACTCTTGGCCTCCATTGATTCACCCGCCTCAGCCTCCCAAAGTGCTAGGATTACAGGCGTGAGCCACCACGCCCAGCCTCCATCCATTCTTGCAAGAACACTGCAAGAATGCAACCCAGGGCCTGGAAATGTTCTCGCTCTCAATTTGGGTCATCATCACATGATGTCGATATATGTAAAAATTCACTAAATTACATACTTAGACGTGTATACATTATATATTTATGCCTTGAAACATAAACAGATTAAAGTATTTAAGGAAATGTGGGCCCAGGGTTATCAAAGTTTCTGAATTTTCAAAAGCTTAAAATGCAGATTTTTATATAAAGTACCCTGATTTTAAATGTTGGAAACAAATTCTTTTTTTTCTTTTTGAGACAAGATCTTGCTCTATCACCCAGCCTGGAGTACAGTGGCACAATCAAGGCTCACGGTAGCCACGACCTCCTGGGCTCAAGCCATCCTCCTACCTCAGCCTCCCAAGTAGCTGGGACTAGAGGCATGCACCCACCACACCTGACTAGTTCTGTATTTTTGGTAGAGATGGGGTTTCGCCATGTTGCTGGTCTCAAACTCCTGGGCTCAAGCGATCCTTCCACACTGGCTTCCCAAAATGTTGGGATTACAGGCATGAGCCACTGCACCTGGCCTGGAAACAAATTCTTACTTGTGGTTTTTTTCAAAATATCACTTGAGTGCAGACCCCCCAACTGCCACCACCAACCCCCTGCATTGGGCATAATGCCTGCATGTTCAAGGCCAGATCGGCGTCTTCCAGGAAAAGGGAAAAGCCAGATCAGGTTCACAGTCTCAGAACCTTCGTTTGCCTAGACGTACCTCTAGCCGGTCCACTTTGGCGTAGATGCCACGCATTTCTGTCAGTTTGGCCTTAAGGACTGGGATGTTTTCCTCCAGGATCTGTGACGTATCACTCCTGATCTGCAAGGAACAAAACAGCTCATCAGGCCTCCTGCCCCATCACTGTGTCCTCCTGCCTGCCTCAGAGGTCGGCCAGGGTCTACACAGACCCCACCGATGGCTGAGGTGCCAGGTGGCATCCTGCACCAGACAGGCCCAAGAACAACCCAGAGCCCCAGGGGAGGACCAACCTCATCGCCTCTGTGGACCCAGACCTACCCAGGTATTATTTACTGAACCACAAATTAATCACTTCCCCGCCAACCACCCAGCAACACCAGTCCCAAACTAAATATCTTCGTTTTCTAAACCACTGAACTGGAGCAAATGGAAAGAATCAGAATCTCTTCTCTAAACCAAAGTCAAAGTCAGTCCAGTTTTCATTGCACTGGAATATTAACAAGTTGATCATTACGATTAATATTCATTAATAATGTTAATGAACACCACAACTCTCATGTATCAGATGCTTCCGACACGCAGGCTTGTCCTAAGTACTTCCTTGCACCATCTCCTTGAGTTATCATTTTCTTCTGCTTGCAAGGGTTCCAGAAGTGAACTGTGTGAAGCCACGTATCTTTCCCTTGATCACTGAAATCAGACGCCGATGGTTCCTTTTTCCTTCAGAACCCAAGGACCAAGCCTAACTCTTCTGTGTGTGTGAGAGAGAATGAGAGATTCCATTTTCATGTTATCACATCCTCGCTGTGCAAAAAAAAGGCCATATATTCATGGCTCTCAAATTCTGGGGAGCGGCTGGCCGTGGTGGCTCACGCCTGTAATCCCAGAACTTTGGGAGGCTGAGGTAGGTGGATCACCAGAGGTCAGGAGTTCAAGACCAGCCTGGCCAACATGGTGAAACCCTGTCTCTACTAAAAATACAAAAATTAGCCAGGCATAGAGCACACACCTCTAATCTCAGCTACTCGGGAGGCTGAGGCAGGAGAATTGCTTGAACCCTGGAGGCAGAGGTTGCAGTGAGCCAAGATCGAGCCATTGCACTCCAGCCTAGGTGACGGAACGAAACTCCATCTCAAAAAAGAAAGAAAAAAAAAAAATTCTGGGGAGCAACTGAATCTCCTTGGGGAAGCCTTTCAAACAGTGATTCTGATTCCCAGCCTCTCCTAAAAGAATCTGCATTTTCAGCCAACACTCTGAGGCAACGTTGGAATAGGAATCTGGGGACCACTGTTACAGAAACACCAGTGGGCACAGCAGGAGCTGGACTAAGGATTCAGGCTAGTGTTTAAATTTAGCTCTACCCACCATGAGCTCTGTGACCTTAGGCAACTCACTGCACCTCTCTGAGCCCTCCTTTGCTCACTGGGACAGTGGTGCGATGATGATGGTCCTTTCGCTGGGATGCTGAGGATGAGCTGTTTAGCACAGTGCTGGCGTGGAGTGTGGAGGTGGCTTCTGACGTGCTCCCCGGGGTCTCACCCTCCTGGTATCCTCATGCTTAGGTAATCTCCTCCCCTAGATTTTGGGCTAGGCCTAGTGGCTTTAGTTTGTTTGTTTTTTGAGACTGAGTCTGGCTCTGTTTCCCAGGCTGGAGTGAAGTGGTGCAATCTCAGCTCACTGTAACCTCTGCCTCCCAGGTTCAAGCGATTCTCCTGCCTCAGCCTCCTGAGTAGCTGGGACCACAGGTGCGCACCACCATGCCCGGGTAGTTTTTGTATTTTAGTAGAGACGGGGTTTCACCACGTTGGCCAGGTTGGTCTTGAACTTCTGACCTCAAGTGATCCACTTGCCTCGGTCTCCCAAAGAGCTGGGATTATAGGGGTGAGTCACCACTTCTGGCCCCAAATTTTTATTAAAAAAATTTTTTTTTGAAAACTGTAACTGTTTTTCCTCCTCTTTCTGCCTAAGTACATCAGACTTCTCGTGGTTATCATGAAAATCTGCTCCCACCACTGTTCAGACAACATTTCCCCCTTGCCCTGGGTTTCCTGCGACCTTCGCCCCATTGCTCTGTATGTCTAAAACCAAACTCCTCCACGCCTCTCCCCACGCCTAGCCCTCCTCTGGTCACAGCACCGCCATCTCTCTGGGCACCTAGCTCTAGGTGTCTAGTATCCTCAGGGATACTTGTTTTTCATGCCCTGATCCCACAAGGTCAAAGATAAGCCCTGAGAGGGTGGCATGTGGTATCAGGCTGCCCGGCCTAAGCCCCTGGCCCACTGTTCTCCACTATGACACGAGGCTGGTCCCCTATCCTCCCTGGGCCTCGGTTTCCTCATCTCATATTTTGAAAAAAAAAAAAGATTTTGCAGGCTGGACACAGTGGCTTACACCTGTAATCCCAGCAGTCTGGGAGGCCAAGGTGGGCAGATCACCTGAGGTGAGGAGTTCAAGACTAGCCATAGCCAAAATGGAGAAACCCTGTCTCTACTAAAAATACAAAAGTTAGCTGGGTGTGATGGCACGTGCCTGTAGTCCCAGCTACTTGGGAGGCTGAGGCAGGAGAATCGCTTGAACCCGGGAAATGGAGGTTGCAGTGAGCCAAGGTGGCGCCACTGCACTCCAGCCTGGGTGACAGTGCAAGACCCTGTCTCTAAAACAAACAAAAATTCAAGTGGGACTCCCATGAGAAATGGCTGATTCTAGGACTGAGCTGAGCCTGGAGCATCTTGCAGCCCAGAAAGCAAGAAAGTATTCCACAAAATAAAAGATGAGATGGGGCTTACCCAAGAGACAAAGAAGCCAACCTGCAGGATGAAATGGCCAAAGCTGGGACAAACTGAGCAACAAAAAATTAACATCGCATTAGATCATAGCTCAAAGTACAAAGTAAATGTGCACAAGCCTATTGTGGGAAATGGCAAATTCCACTGGAGAAAGCCGCGGGCACCACCTTATGCAGGTTCACATCCACGATGCCACGTGGGCATCCGGTACCCTCTGATGGGATGTGATAAGACTCCTCCTCCTCTGTGGTGATCGTTCCACAAATTCCTATCTCCAATCTAACCACATGAAAAACGTCACAAAAATCGAGAGACCTTCTGTGAAACACCTGACCAGCATATGCCTCGAAACTGCACAAGTGATGAAAAGCGAGGTAAGACTGAAACTGTCACAGGCCGGCAAAGACTAAGGAGATGTGACAATCTCGTGCCATGTGGCACCTTAGACTGGATCCTGGAACAGAAAGAGGACACTCATGGGAAACTGGTGACATCAAAACAAACTGTGGAGTTCAGGGCATAGCAATATACCAATGCTGGTTTCTTCATTTGTTTTTTTTTTTTTTGGGGGGGGTGTTTCTTTTTGTTTGTTTGTTTTATAGGGTCTTGCTTTGTCACTCAGGCTGGAGTGCAGTGGCGCAATCATGGCTTGTTGCAGCCTCGACCTCCTGGGCTCAAACAATTCTCCAGCCTCAGTCTCTTGAATAGCTGGGACTACAGCTGTCCACCACCATGCCCAGCTAATTTTTTATCTTTTGTAGAGACAGGGTTTCACTGTGTTGTCCAGGCTGGTCTTGAACACCTGGCCTCAAGCTATCCTCCTGCCTCAATCCAAAGTGTTGGGTTTGCAGGCGTCAGCCATTGTGCCTGGCCCCTTAGTACTGACAAATGTACCATGGTGATGTGAGATGTTAACAGTGGGGGTCAGGAACGCAAGACCAGCCTGGACAACATAGCGAGCCACCATCTCCGTTAAAAAATTAAAAATGCATTTTAAAAAATTTAGGGTTAATATGGCAACTCACTGAACAATCTTTGCAACTTTTCTGTAAATATAAACTATTCAAAAATAAAAAATACATAAATGTAGTTTTAAAAAATCAAGTAATTAGCTCTGAATCTACAGCTTCTCTTAAGTCAGCAGCTTTGGCAATGATGGGCCTGAGTCTCCCCAGGCAGCAAAGGCCGAGGCTGCTCCCTCCAGATGGGCCTGAGTGCTGGGGTTTCCACAGTCATCACCCCTCCCCATTGTCTCACCCCAGCTCCACGCTCTGCCTGGCTCCAGCATTTGTTACCAGTGACAGGGAAAAGTCCTTAGTCTCCTCCCTTTCTTCCCCAAGGCCGGATTTCTAGAGAGAAGCTCATTCCTCAACAAGGCGAAACTTGGAGAAAATCACCCTGATGTAGCAAAGAGCAGATAATTAATTCCAGGGCAAGGTCAGAACAGGGGGGAGCAAACCTGAATCGTATCTTTCTGTTAATTTCTAAAGAAACAAACTGGGGGAGGGGTGAGAATGAGCTTGGGGGTATGGGCTGGGACTGGCAACCTACAGGAGACAAAGTGGCAGACAGAAGATTCAGGGACCACCCTCGCCCCCTAAATCCGAAAGAACTGGGAACAGTTTTTTTTTTTCCTTATTTTTATTTGTTTATTTTTTTCTTTTTCTTTCTTTTTTTTTTGAGACGCCCAGGCTGGAGTGCAGTGGTGCCATCTCTGCTCACTGCAACCTCTGCATCCAGATTCAAGCGATTCTCCTGCCTCAGCCTCCCGAGTAGCTGGGATTACAGGCACCTGCCACCACGCCTGGCTAATTTTTATATTTTTAGTAGAGACAGGGTTTCACCATGTTGGCCAGACTGGTCTTGAACTCCTGACCTCAAGTGATCCACCCACCTTGGCTTCCCAAAGTGCTGGAATTACAGGCGTGAGCCACGGCGCCCAGCCTCTTATTTTATTTTTAGAGAAATCCCTTCTCTGATGCAGCTTCTCCAATGGCTGAAACCGAAGGCAACAGGGAACTGTTTATACCTGCCCAGAGGTTTACCCAGAGGTAGTTACTCAGAATGAGGGGCCAGGGAGGGCAATCCCAGGGGCTGAAAGACCCCAACCCTTACTCTTGGTTCCACCCTGGGCTGGGAACCATAAAAGAAACTTTAGGGCCAGGTGCAGGGGCTCACACCTGTAATCCCAATTCTTTGGGACGCTGAGGTGAGAGGATCCCTTGAGGCCAGGAGTTCAAGACCAGTCTGGGCAACATAGTGAGGCACCATCTCTATTTAAAAAATTAAACATTTATTTATTTTTTTTTTTTTGAGACGGAGTCTTGCTCTGCC